GGCTTTATCTTGGTCACAGACTCTGGAAGAAATTTGCCACTTCCCATTTACTATAAGTCCTTTATGCTTTGACTCATCTACTAAATATTCATTCAAGATTTTTTCAAGGTGTAGATCATATTGAAGTTTGTGTTATTTCTGAACCGTATATAAGGACTTCACCTTCCAGCATCTTCTTTAATGCCTGACAGCTTTCTATCTACCAACCTTATTGTGAGGACAAACCACTTTGGCTTTGGTAGTCAAATTCCTGCCCCTTTCTAATGATTGAATCATTCAACCTTGCATTCAGATTTGGTCATAAATGAGATGAGCTGCATTTTTTTTCCCCTTATAAAGCAGCCTTACCTTCTGGGGTGGAATGAAATGGGGTTGCTCCTTTGACAGTTGATTTGAAAAAGTCTGTGCATTTTCCATCTGAATCAGCCAGGGCTGTATTAACCACGGACCACCTGACCTCCCCACTACCCCCCACCCCACCCCCCGTGTGTGTATGTGGGGGAGGGGCAGGCTGTGGAAAACTCCATACGGCTATGCCTGGGACCTGATGGGCTATGCTGGATGTTTCTCAATTCATTCAGGGACCAGAATATGTTCCCTTTTCACAGAGGAACTAATTACTTAAGCGATGACCTGGAGAGTAGAGAAAAGAGGTAGTGGGTGACCACAGTCATTAAAGGAAATTGAAAAGTAACTCCTTAAAGCTACTATCATAGAATGCCTCAATCATAGATTCTGTACTTTCCCAGAATAGTTCAACTCATTTCTTAGGCACACCTGATAATAATCTAGGGAAATAGGACAGACTAAGAATCATTATGTCTATTTAGCATTTAAAGGAACTGAAATGTGGAAATGAATGAATGACTCATAGATGTACCTCTTCTCCCCCATTACTTTAAAATTTAATTCAAATGCAGCTGCAATCAGCCTTTCATCAGGAAGATGGCTTGGACATTTGAATAGACAAATGAAAATTGGGCAGTTATGTCTGTTTTTCCAAAAAATGTTGTCAAGTACAATTTTGGTGACTTGTGGAAGATGCCACAGGCTGCCATATCCTTTTGCTGTTCCTCCTCTAAAGAAAGAAATGCAAGGGTGGGAAGGTGCTCCCTGACTGTGGAGGGTGAACACGGGCTGGTCCCGAAGTGAGCTTAGATCGCTGGAGAACGGACTCTGTGCACATCACGGTTGAATCAAGGGTTGCCAGTTGGCAGACTAAATGCAGCTTTTGGGTTTGTACAGCATATATTCTGCTGAATCCACTGCCAATATTTCATATTAGACTTTTAATTTTCATAGTAAAACATGCTAGTTCATCCCCAAATATGCCTATTTCATCTCTTTTTGGATTTAATATATTTTTAAGGAAAATGCCTCCTGTTCTGATTTCTCCAACTGTCAATTCCTTGTCTCCTATCTGGAAACTACTGCAGAGCCTGGATCATCTGGATGGCAGTTTTGGGGGCAATGTCCTATTCTCAGAATGGCACCAAACCTTAAAGTGGAAGGTGTCCAAGGAGGGGAAGAAAGTTTTGTCAACAGCACAATGAGCTAGGTTAAAGAAAAAAACCAAGACAAAAAACTGAACAAATGGGAACTGGAGACCTGAACACCTCAAGGTAGTAGTGAAATTGTCACTTATCAGAGCAGAACCAAACAGCACAGCCGTTGGCTGGAGCCAGCATGAGAGCTGAAAGGCCAGAGTGAGGGGAAGGAAGTGTAGAGGAGGGAGCAGAAATAGAACAAAATAAATCAAAATAAAATAAAAGCAGCCTAGCCTGGTGGAAAGGGACAGTGGTGGTGACTGACTGGCTGCAGATGGAGGCTGTAGTTTACACAGGGCCTCTGTGACTAGCAGTCAGGGACAGGCGGTCCTGCTGCCAGGTCTGGGTGGAAGAAAACTGGAACCGTTTTTCTGTGTAGAAACTCGCCCTATCACACGTTGTGGGCCCATCAGGAGTTGATTCCATTCCAGCAAGAAAAAAGAGAGGCTCAGAAAGATGATCTTCAGGTATCAAGGAACAACTGAATTATGCTTGTATATTTTACTAAAAAAAAAAAAGAAAAAAAGTTTATGATCCATGAGGTGTTTCATTTAAAATCAAAGTTTGAGTTGAAGGGTTAAATTCAGTGATCTGTAAATGTGTTACATAGAGCCATGGGTTCCTTGAAATATTGGAAAATTCATTGGAAATTATGCTATACCTCACCCTTGAGATGAAAAGATTAGAAATCAAATTTCATGGAAAAAAATCATTGCCTTGGAATTATTATCAGTGCTGTGGAGACCATTTGTGGGATATCAGTGTCAAAGAATGAGGCATGAAAGGAGTAAAAATAAAGATGCTCTAACACATATTTACACACACAAATACACATGCACACACACTAACACACACATACACACTAACACGCACACATACACACCCTAACACAGACACACACACTAACACACATATGCACACTAACACGCCTACACACTACACACACTCTAACACACATATACACAAACACACACTAACACATACATTTACACACACTAACACACACATTTACACATGCTAACACACATACACACTCTAACATACACTATCACATATGTTTACACACACTAAAACACACATATACACACAAACACACATACATTCTAACACACACACATATGTGATCAATACTGTCCCAATTCATGTTATTCTTCCCCCTCCCTTGCTTGTCCAAGGAAGAGCTGTATTTACTACCCTTCCTGTTTCAGGGTTTCTAAGTTTGAAATCTACCCTGAAGGTGGAAAGGCCAGTAGGAGAAAAGTCAGTTTGCTGAATAAAAATTCTTAGCAGAACGTAGGCTTCGAGAAAGTTATTTTATCTGATACGTGTCGCCAAGTGACTTCTCTCTCCCCCTCCCACTCCCCCACTTCAAGTCGGCCTCAGGCACACACTTCTAGGGCTTTCTGTGCTCATGCATTATTGACAAGCCATCCCTTTCTCTATTCCCACGGGGGAGGGGCACACGAGCCCTGCGGTGAGCTAGCCCTTCAGCAAGGGGAAGCTGGTGAGTAACAGTCTGGTATTTCATCATCCCAGCAAGCGGAACAACGAACTGCCTTCCTACCTGTTGTTTACTCACTAAATAGACACCAACAAAACCTCATTGGAACGAAAAGTCTGGGATCTGTAGTTTAACACCACTACATCTTTGGCCCCTTCAAAAAAGAGATTGCTGAGCTGGGGGAGATGGTTTTGAAGGAGGAAGGAGGGTCCATTGAAGGGATCAAGGTCATTGCAATGGGGCTGGATGGGATCACCATGGAGACCCCTGGAATGAGTTATTTGTCTTCTCACTTTTCAAATACAGGGTTCTAAGGTACATGTTTGGGATGTTCAAAACGTCGAAGGGACAGGTAAACATTTAGACACTGAACAGAAAAAGTAACGAGAGTTATAATTTCTTGAGCATGGAGAGAGCTTTGTGTTTGCTCTCTGACATGTGTTTACTCGTGTGTGAGGCTTTTACAAGCGAATCCCACGGTGGGAGAATCACAGTGATCCGTGTGGCACCAGCTGCCTACTGGGCTTTGGGTGCTGTAGAGTTTGTGGGATTTTGTGGGCTAATATAGTATTATTTTTTTTTTTAACTGAAATAGTTCTTGGGAATTTCCGTTGTGAAATTTGAAATAAGTTGTAGAAGCAGGAAAAGGAGACTTTCTCTCTGAGCTCTCTCCCTCTTTTTTTTCCCCAAAGAGTTAAAAGGAGCCAAATTTAGAACTAGCTTTGAAAGAGCTTTCTCACTTTGTCTTAAGAATCAAGAGTGAGGGAAAATTAAGTGTCATCAGCACTGGATCTTTGAATGTGGGGTGAGAGGAAACGCAAAGTCCTGACTTAATTGAGCAGGATAATGTAAGAGATGTGGAGATTTTAGGTTGTAAAACTCTCTTAGGGCCTGTGAGTTCATTTGTTCCAAAGTTTCTCCTATTGCCGTTGGTTGGGGAATCTAAATTTCCTGGTGACCATCACTGGGGTTTCTGAACCAGGGTGGCTTGCTGTGGGGGAGTGGGTCTTAGAGGGCAGGGGTCAAGGCCAAGCTTCAGGTGTGTTGAGGGAGGAGGAGGGGGGAGGAGGAAAAAGAATGGGAGAACCAGTGGGGGTCAGGTGCTGGAGTGGGCAGGGAGGATTTTTAGGGGAACAGTAAGTGGAGACAGGGTGGGAAGGCAGTCAGAAATACCATCCAAGCAATCAACATCACACCCAGGGAGGTGGAGATAGTCTTCTAAGGCCATTTCAGGACAGATCCTTTATTCCACCCTCAGACTTAAAACTAGGAAAAATGTGCTGTTTTTCCCTTGCACCCCTGGGTGCTCAGCTTAGCGGACTTGACCTAATTTCATCTTCACATACAGGTCCACCCAAGGACCTGTCAGGATTGTTGGAAAAGACCCAACTTGTCATCCTAGTTTTCTGACTCTCTTTTCCAAGGCTCTAGGATGTTTGGAGGGAGAAGGGGGAGATTGAATCTTTTAGGTTTCCTATATTAAGGTTTTCAGTAATATTTCCTTTGGGAAAAAGAAGGGAATTTTGTCAACTAACAAAACATTTGAAAAAAAAAATCACTCGTCTAATCTCTTCTCCTCATTTTAGAAATGAAACTGAGACCCTGATCAGTTGACTAATGGCCCAGATTGAGTTACGGCTCTAATCTTTCAACCACCAGGGGCCTGGTAGGGATTTTAAAAGAGAACTAGGATATAGAGAAGTAGACTTTATATGTGCCAGCTACAATTCTATTTTAAGGTACAAATGCTTATATGGCAGTAATCACCCATGTTTTTTCATTGTATCTGTTTAATAACCCTATAATAACATGTGAATTGGATGAGATTAATAAATTCTTTGTTTTTTACATAATTATGATATGGTAATTTTAAAGACCTGTTTTGCTGGTTTGCTTCTTCTATGAAAATAGAACCAAATTCAAATTTCTTATTTTAAATAATTCAGTGGATGACTAAAATTTAACCAAGGAGTAAGCCACTCTACATTTTTCAGAACACCCCATGAGAAACAGAAATAATTATGTTGGTTGAATTAAAAAAATGCATAGGAATACTTACTTTTCCCATTCCCTACTTTCTTTCCAGTCTGAAAGCCTAGCCTCATTTGATCACCCTCCATTCAACTTTTAAACATTGTCCATCACTATTGTATAGCAACAATACAGTTTTTATCTTTAATAAGGAACAAAATGCAATCACTATCGAGAGGTGAATTACAAAACCTAACGGTATTAGGAAACCAATATAAAGTATATATAGTAGAAAAATTTAAACTTGGAATTACTGTTATTTTCCAGTTTCTCTGGTGTCAGTTCTCAGTATTTTCCGGAAAGCATCCTCAAGGCTTGCTTGACCCAACTGTCATCCTAATGCTGTCCCAGGTGTTGCAGTTACTAATGTGAGCAAGATGTACTCCCAGCCTCAGCCAGTGTATACTAAAGTTATATAAAGGATATTCTGGGAGCCAGGAGGAGGAGTAAATAAATTAGACTGGGCAGATGGAGCACAGAAAGGCTTTTTAACAGAAATGAATACTTTCAGACCAGTTTGGAGGCATTGAGTAGGAGTAAGCTAAAAGAGAAAGAGCAGGACAAAAAGAACACTGCTTTTGGAGTTTGAAGCCACACTGGAAACGAGTCTTCCAGGGTGTCTGAAAGAGGAAAGTCTGTTCGTGTGGGATAAGAAGTGAGGGGAGATAAATGGACAGTGGACAGAATGCCGAGGGCTGCATGGGCTGAGATGAGGGCTGTGGACTAGATTTTTATATTTAGGGCAAAATAGTGAAGGAATTTAAGCGTGGAGTGACAGGGGAGAATACCAGCCTGCAGGAACAGAAGGCAAAGTTCTGTGGTTGCCATGGATTGGGGTGGCTCGGTTGGCTTTCGAGGTAAAAGTCTGCAGTTGAGAAGTTCAAGGGTAGTAAGTACCCAAGGTCAGGTATGAGATCAATCAAACCTCTTAAAACATGGATGTCATCTTCAGTGTTTTTAGCAGTAGAGGTCGAGAAGAAAAACAGGTGGCTACTGATATCCAAGTCCTCCACAAATACCAGGGAGAGTCAAGAGTTTGACAGAGGAGATGGATCGTGCTGGTTACTGTGAGCCTCAACACTTGTGCTTTTGTTTCAAGGTGGGGGAGATGTGCTTTGGAGGTGCGATAAGAAAGTAACAGGAATGTGCCCGTGGAGGAAGGTGGGAGGCTGAGTTATCTCCTCTTGAGAGGGGTTGAGTTACGTCAAAGTTTAAGGGAAGAAAATCTATGAATTTTCTACCTAAAGGATTCTAGAAGTATCAGGTAAGTAGTTGCTCAGAAATGATTACTGAATGTTGCATAAAGAGCTATGACTCTGGTATTGGAGTAACAGATCCTGGTTACACAATGTCTTTTTGTGCTTTTCCTGGGCTACTGAGATATTTGCAGTGTTCCTTTGCTTGTTAATATCTCTAATCTCAGCACTGAAAGTTTATGTCTCTCGATGTGCCTTCAAGTGAAATGTAGTTTCATATTCATAATTTCATGGATGTGTGCTCATTTTTATCAATATTTTCTGAGCGCTGTTGTGTGCTAGATGCTGGAGGCATAAAAGGGATCAAGTTACAAACTGTCCTTCTCCTGGACAGGAGGTGAGGAGTCTTGGTAAGACTTTTGAATGCTTAAATTTATATCTTTCCTTTAAGAACCAATCAAAAAATGAGCAACTCTTTATAGCAGCATTATAGTACATCATCTTCAAAGATCAATGTGTGTACAAATATAAACAGATCGATATCTAGGTGTGACTGTTAATCCTTAATCATTATCCACCATTGCTTAATCTAACCTGAGTTTACTTTTCATTCTTGAATCCTTAGAATTTGTTAGACATTTTCAAATAATAGTTCTTGTTTCCCAAGGAATATGGTATTCAAATTCCCTGAATTACTTTGTTTAGTTGTTTGGTTTTCCTCTCATATTGTTCCTAGCTCTTTAATACAACTAAAGATTTTTATGTACCCAACTTTCTTGTTTTCTCTTAAGTCTCTTTTTCCTTACGATGGCCTATAGTCAATTTGGGTAAATCCTTGTGTGAATATTAACTATTTCTGTGACTCTTGGCAGAGGTGAATACCTTTTATTTCTTATAAGAGGAAAAGAATTCTCCTCATTCCCAGGAGAAATTAAGCTTATTAGCTACTTACTAATAATTTGCATTAATTTCCTTCACAGTAGCAAATAGTTGGAGTTGGAATGAGAAAAATTCAGTTTACACCTGAAATTGCTTTTATAAAGGGTTATAGATTTCCTTTAAGAACTTATTTAAAAAGCAAAACATGAAAAAAATGTAATAAGCCTCAAAAATGAAACTAAAAATGGATTTGATCACAGGTGTAGTAAAACCCCAGTGATTGTTAAAAAAATCTGTCAAGACTCATATGGCTAAAATTGTGATTATTACATGAATAATTTTATTATTTTTAAGTACATGTACAAGGTTTAAGGAACATTTACATTATTAGCAAATTATTTCTAAAGTACTTTTAAAATGCCACGTGTGTGTTTATATGTGTATATTTTTGTTTGTTGAGAAGGGCAGAAATCTCCCTTTGGTCTTATTTACTTTGTTCCACTGATTTGCTAAAAGAGCACAATTATGCTATTTTATAAAAACATATGTGGGACTGTGTGCATACAAGGATAGACATGAACTAACATGGAGTTACATTATTATTAATAACAAGGCTTATCTTTGGCACTGTTAGTTGAATATCAAGCAGTTGAATCATTTCCTTTTCTTCTTTGAAAAGTTCTTTCCTAAGGATTGAAAAATAATTGTCCTTGCTGTGAAAGCTAATCATCTTACAGAACCATGTGTTCTGGTCAATGAGATATAAGTAGAATTCCACTTGGGGGCTCTGGGAAAGATTTTCCTTCCTGGGAAAAGGGTCAGGTGCCAGGAGAGGGCTCTCTGATTCTGCATCTTCTCCAGTGTTCCTGCCCTGGATCAGTTATGGGGAAAAATGATGGCTCTATGGCAGCCATCTTGGTTGAGACCATGAGACAACAAGCCTAAGGACAAAACCCCATCATATCTGGGATGATAGAAGATAGAAGAAAGACAAAAAAGAATACAAGGGAGGATAAGAAGAAAACCCAAGTCTCTGATGACATCACTCTGTTACTGGACCAAATTTAAAACCATTTCCCTGGGGGTTCATTGTATGTGAGATAATTAAATGTTAGCTGTGAACAAATTCTTTAGTACTCAATGTTTCTGGACGTTCTCTTTGATAATGAAAAAATAAAATTTAAAAAGGAAAAAAAAGAAAGAGATAGCTGTGCTTATGCCCCTGTTGGTGGCTGAATGCTAACTGACACATCACGGCATTTTTTCTGATTCATTCCAAGTCTTATGTTTGATTAGTAAGTACAGTGGATATTTAAATCCAGGTTTTTGGATTCCAAGCCCAGTGTTTTCCTGGCCTTGCTTTCTCCTCACATGGCTATCATTTGAGAAATAAATACACATACTGTGAAGTAATAATGTATATTGCCCACTTTGAAAAATTTCCCTATTCTTATTTAAAGCTGTGCTTCTCTTGCAACCTTCTGGACTCAAACTACTCACAGTTTGTCTAACAAATCCTGGGGGAGAATTTCCCTTTATAGTCACTTGTAACTGGATGTTTATTTGCCTCATTATGACTTTGGACACATTATCGAATGTCAAATTATATTTCCTGATCTCTTCATAAGAGCATAATTTATATTCACCTCTTCATATACCCCCCATAGTATTATTGGGTGGGGTGAAGCTCCATTCATCATCAACATCTGATTTTTTTCCACTAGTGGTTGTTACATAGGTGTTCAAATATTTTTTTGTGTGTTATAACCATTTGATAATGACTACTAATAAGAAAATAAATCAATTTGTAAAATTTATAAAATCGCCCAGTTGATGGAAATTTGGCATGCAAACATTCACATGAGAGAGAAGACAGAGGTTGGAGGAGCTCACCATTGCCTACCATGGTGGTCTGTGTCAGTTGCAGAGGGTCTGGAGCTCACTTTGGTTCTTTAATAAAGAACCATTTTAATATGGAAGTAAAGTATATATGAATTTAGTGTTGGAACCTCAGCTTTATATTACATGTATTACATGGAATTACATGGAATCCATGTAATACATATGATGTGCACATAGAAATTATACACTGCATAAAGGCCCACAATGAGATGCTTCATTTCTACCTTCCTTTGTCTATAAAGATATAGCTGTGTTTTAATACTTTTCTTGAACCTGCAGGGGTAATAGTCCATCATTTTCTTTCAGTTGATTTATCTCTTTTTAGCTATCAAATGTTAAAGATCTACATGTAGATGTTTGCTGTGTATTCTATGTAACTGAAATCTAATCATGGAGTTATTCATATACTCAAAGAAACCACAGAGATACTCCAGGCAGAGTTTTTATGACCAAACTGGGGACTACAATGAGTCCTTTAAGAATGTTGATTTAGGAAAAACGAGAAAGCCCTCTGAGCACATGGTAAAACTGAGTTATAAGGCAGCAAGGTGGAGATTTGCAAAAACACTAATCAGGGGAAAAATGATCAGAGGCCAGTAAGACCTCAACTCTTGGTCAATTAAATGTACCCACATGTTTAAGGAAAGGATGTGTCCAACGGATGGGGAATTGAGAAGCCAGAAAAACATAAGAGGAGGAAATCCAGGGAAGATGAGCTTTGTGCTAGTTAGCCAAGATGGGTCTGAAGGACTTGATGCTGTGAACCAGGGTCACACTCTGTTTCCAAGGGAAAGCAAATTATTATCATCATCATTATTAGCCTCTAGCATATATTGGCTGTTTCCTACATACTTTATATCTCATATTGTTTAATCCTCATAAAAACTCATACATTCTCAAAAACTCAGAAAGCACTACTATTAACCCTATTTTATAGATGAGAATGTTAAAGCTGAAGGAGCCTCCATTGCTTGTCTAGGGTCCTATTAGGAGGAAGTGGCAGTGTCAGTATTTGAACTTAGTCTCAAGAACTTGTGTACATAAACACAACTATGAACATCTACCAGGACAAAAGAGAATTGTCTCCTTGGTTTTTCAAAAACAAATCAGAGGACCAGAAGTTTGTGAGTAGCCCAATAGTAAGTGTCAGAATTAAGACAATAGCCCAGATCTCTGAAATCTTAGTGAGATGTATTTCTATTATGCCAGGATTCAATTCTTCTCCTTCATGAGAAAGCCATTAAACAGCAGGCCAGTAAAAATGAGATTGCCTTCAGGGTGGGACCAGCAATGAAGAACTGTACTTATTGGAAGGAAGTAACTGCACACAGCTCACATTGAAGGAGTGAAGAATTATTCTCCACCTTCTTGAGGGTGGATTATCTACATAAATTGTTTGGAATTCTTCTCCATAGGAAATTTGTTATTCTTCCCCATTTATTCATTTATTCACTCATTTATTTATACCAGTATGGGCTCATGAGTATTTATTGTATACTTTGGGTTATAATCCAATAGATTTTATTTATTTTCTTGCCCAAATGGTTCCAGCTTTGGCCATTGGTCAGTTGACTCCTGTGTCCTTTTGACATGCTTATCATTGTGGGCTTTTTGTTTTTCTTCGCACTCCTTTATTTCTGGTACTGTAAGATGCTCTAAGATTTCCTGCTTTGGTCTTAGAGTCAGCCACTCCTCCGAGGAGCCCTGGGTCCTTTTACTGATGAATGGCATTAGAAACTAAGGTTTAGGTGCTAGGTGTGCATCTTATTTTAAATAGTAGCTAATATTAATACTTAGAAGTCAAGACAGTGTTTGCCATTGGAGAGGTGGTGACTGGAAGTGGTCCCCGAGAGGCTTCAAGGGCATATGATCTATTTCTTGATCTCAGTCCTGGTCGCCTGGGTTTCTTCATTTTATGAAGAAAGTCATCAAGTGTACACTTACCCTATGTGCACTTGCCTGTCTTCGTGCTATATTTCAATAAAAATTTACTCGGAAAATAAAGGAAAAACTAATAGTTAACACTGAGCATTAGGCAGACATACTCTGGAGTCTGAATCTCTGGCTTCAAATACTTTGACAGCTATATAGCTTTCAGCTTGCTACTTAATTTTTCTAGTCCTGAATTTTTTCATTTATGAAATAGAGAGAGGGTTATCATCTGCCTCAGATGGCTGTTGTGAGCATTCAATGTCTGTATACACCCCCCCAAAGACGTATGTATCGTGTGTGCATATACACATACGGTCAATCCTCATTATTAACGGGTCTCGTATTTGCCATTTTG